TTATTTAAAGAAGCAGTCCTTAGCGTGTCAGGTAGATGATTAAACAATTTGGGACCGTGATAGTTGGTTGAATTCCTACTCCTGTTGAGTCTTAAGCGTTTTATGTTGATTAAGTCTTTGGTACGGGTATCGTGTGCATGAATGTCATTTTGAGTCGTATATACACGTACGTTGTTTTTCACTTCGAGGAGGGTGTGATAAATATAAATACAGGGTAAAGTTAGTATACGATGTTCCTTAAACTTAAAATTAAATCTAAATTTAGAAATATGGACAAGGTATAACGGGCGATCAAAAATGAGTTGCTGTCGAGTCGCCTTTGGAAGTTCATATTAAATATGATTTTCCATGTAAACAAAAATTCCAAAGGTAACTCGACAGCAACTTATTTTTGATCGCATCGTATAACTAGCATGAAGTAAGTCATAGTCAATTTTTACATTTGCTCGCAGCTAAATCTTTATCATCAAATTGATTTTCCATTAGATATCGCATATTCCTCTTGAAAAATTTCCGAAGCTGTAGTTATTATATCACATTTTTTGGGGTGTCAAATTACATTTACAAGGTTAATGATTTCAATTGATTTAGTCTTAAAATTATTAAAATTTTCGTTAAAAATGTACTATGATTTTTGAGGCACTTTAGAACTTTCTTTTTGTGCTTTACAGGTGAGGTTTTTTTGAGTTCTAAGCTAGGCTGAACTCTGAAGGTACTTTTTTGTTAAATATTGTGATAATTAGCGATTTATTTTAATACAGAATTTAACCGTACAGAATTGCTTATTTGCCAATTTATTTAAGGTTTTGCGGGATCCCGCAAATACCGGGATCCCGCGGGATTAACATCTAACAATCTCGCAAATACCGGAATTGAGATTTTGATGCGGGATTGCATTCCCTAATTGTCAACTAAGGGCAATGTTATCAAATTACAATTTCAATGGCATACATGATCAACTCATTGACCCTATACATTTTCAAGGTCACTGGAGGACATTTTTTGGAATCCGAGGTCATTGACCACAGTTTTGAGGTGTCAAATTACATTTTCAATGTCATCCGAGGCATTAATTTTCAAGGTCATCCGAGGACTTTGATCCCACTTTTTTGTGTTGTCATTTTACATTCACAGTCATCCGTGGTCATTGGCCCACATACATTTTCAAGGTCACCGAAAGTCATTGACCCCTTTTTGTAATCCCATGTCATTGACCACAGTTTTGGGTTGTCAAATTACATTTTCAATGTCATCTGAGGCATTATTTTCCAAGGTCATCCAAGGGCATTGACCCCACTTTTTTGTTGTCCATTTACATTTCAGTCATCCGTGGTCATTGGCCCACATACATTTACAAGGTCACCGAAGGTCATTGGCCCTTTTTTGTAATTCAAGGTCATTGACCACAGTTTTGGGATGTCAAATTACATTTTAAATGTCATCTGAGGAAATAATTTTCAAGGTCATCCAAGGACATTGATTCCACTTTTTTTGTGTTGTCATTTTACATTTCACAGTCATCCGTGGTCATTTTCCCACATAGATTTTTGTCATAAATAAATAAATAAATAAATAATCATTTACTGTCCAACAGAAAAACATTCCAATTACAGGACATATACACGTTAATTACCTGGTAAGTGCACACAAAGTAAATTAAATCAAATAAATTTGTAAACTAAAGATAACTAAACATAATAATAATGAGATTTAGAAAACATACCTTAAATTAGCACATGAACAAGGGAAAAAGAAACTAAAGATTGTTCATTATATTTATAATATCAACCAGTCTATGAAAATGGATGTCGCCGAGAAAAGATAAATTATTAAAAAGCCTAACCATATTAAACAAAGGAGAGTTGCGCAAAAGATCTGTGCGAGCAGCGGGAGTGTAAAATGTTGTGGAGTTTCTGGAAGTGTAAGATAGAACATGAAAACATAACAAGGATAGGAAATCGGGACAGTCAACTAAATTGTGTAGAAGTTTATATAAAAAAGTTACAGTAGATTGATTTCGTCGAACCTCTAGTGATGAAAAGTTGAATCTGGCGCATAATAAACTCTGATCAAATCCTCTTGGAGGATAGTTACGGTCCAGTCTATATACTAGAAACTTTAAAAATTTACGCTGAAGTAAGTCTAGCTTATCTTTTTGGTTACGATGCAACGGGCTCCAAATGACAGCACAATATTCCAACTTTGTGCGAACTAACGAACAGTACAGGCATTTTAGTGCTTCAATATTTGAAAACGATTTACAGCTCCGTAGAATAAAACCTAGCGTTGAAGTAGCAGATTTACAAATATTGTTGATATGATGGTTAAATGTGAGCTCACTATCAAAGTAAACACCCAAATCTTTAATGATATCTGCTCTAGTAAGTATAGTAGAATTAACACTGTAATCAAATATATACGGTTTAAATTTGCGACTGAAAGTAACCACTTTGCACTTATTAATATTTAGAGATAAGCCGTTCATAACACACCAGTCACTAAGAACACCAAGTTGCCGTTGAACAAGCGCACAATCGGTCGTTGATGAAATAGATGCGTAGATTTTGAAGTCGTCAGCAAAGAGTAAGTTATTTTTGAGTTGGATCCATCGTTCCTCGAAATGGGGGTTGAAATATATTATGTTATCAAAAAATCTCTAAACCTTCCCCATATAGTTTTATTCGTTGAAGTTTTTAAAAGTAAAAGCGACTATAGTTTCGGCGTACTGCCATCATCAGGCGACTAGAAGTGTATCACAATATAGCAAATTTGAAAACATTACTAGCTCTTAATGTTTTCAAATTTGCTATATTGTGATACACTTCTAGTCGCCTGATGATGGCAGTACGCTGAAACTATAGTCGCTTTTACTTTTAAAAACTTCAACGAATAAAACTATATGGGGAAGGTTTAGAGATTTTTTGATAACATAATATGAGTAAGTTATTAGTAACCAGTCGTTCCGGTAAGTCGTTTATGAACAATAAAAACAGTAGGGGACCCAGATTCGACCCCTGGGGTACCCCACAAGTAGCAGTAATGGCGAAGGAAGTGTAGTTATTATAGCTGACATATTGACGTCGATTATTCAAGTATGATTTGAAGAGAAGCTGAAGAGATTCGCTAAATCCAAAGTTGTCTAACTTGGCAAGGATGATGTTATGCGGAATGGAGTCGAACGCTTTCGCAAAGTCGGTGTAAATCACGTCAACTTGCCCACGATTGTCAAGCACATTAGCAATAAACTGCGTCATACAGACTAAGTTGGTAAGAGTTGACTTGTGTTCCATAAATCCCTGCTGAGCAGGGGATAACAGTTGCTTAACGGAAGGATAGATTCTTGCATAGAGGATAATTTCGTAGATTTTGCCAAAATTATTTAAGATGCTAATGGGTCTATAATTGGTGACATCACTGGGATTTCCACTTTTTAGAATTGGACAGATATTAGCCATTTTCCATATCCCAGGGAAGGTGTTCTTGTTTAGCGACGCATTGAATATATAAAATAATGGCTCCGCAAACACATTAGCACAATCTCTAATTAAGAAAGAGGGAATTTCATCACATCCAGCAGTATGTGAGTCTTTTAATCGTCGTATAGCAGTTATTATCTCATCCATCGTAATATCTCGAACTATAACAGATGGTACAGTGTTGTAGGTACGAAATTGATGTGACACATCCAACGAAGAGGTGTTCGAGTAAACGCTGCTAAAGTACTCCGAAAAAGTATTTACAATATCTTGTGGACGGAAGTATTCATTATCTGAGTATGTAACTCTACCTGGTATTCTAGAGAAACCTCGCTTAGAGTTGACGAAATTCCAGAAATATTTAGGATTACTAGTGACCGAGTTCTCCACTTTTTGTATGTAGATTTTGTAGGCGGCATTTATTTGTGTTTTAATTAGGCTTCTAAGACGTTTATACTCGCATAAGTCGACAAAAAGAGAGTGAGTTTTAAATTTTTTTAGGTACTTTGCTTTGAGCTTGATATTGAATTTAATTTCTTGAGTAAACCATTTCGGATATTTAGAGGAATTGTTACGATACGCAGGTACGTAGAGATTAAATAGAGAGTAAATAATTTCATAAAATTGTTGACAAGCGATGTCGGGGTCTGAAATAAATCATGCGAGGTCGTTCGTTTTCAAACCCCAAATCCTGGTCACGGCACCAAAATTTAGTCAGACAAGGTTAATTACATTGGTTTAATTAGGGCGGGGATGACTATATCCCGGATCACTTCACTACCTTTCTCTAAGTAATACAGAAGCTTCCGACCTTTTGGAAATACCCCAGGAAGGCAGCCCGTGATCGAGTCAAATACCCAAGAAGTTCGTGGAGGTGAATACTGTAAAGATAATCGCATTGTTCTTTTATTTGTATGTCCAACCCATTACCGTGCCTTTAAGGGTAAAAGGAATTTAAACTTTGGTAATACTAAAAACTAAAAAATGGCATCTTCCAATATTTATATTTTAATTTGTATCCACCAAGAAGAGATTAAAAAATCATTTACTCCGAACGCTAATTTTTAAATGATGAACATTTATTTTTAAAACAGGGTAGTTACTGTGACAGAAAAATCTCCCTCTGTCAAATCCACATTATTTAATCATATGCACTAGATATTTCAACCCTAGAATGTAACAGTCGTTACACAGGACGGATGGACTGGACAGACATGCAAAGTGGCAATGTGTACAGCCAAACTTTTTGATTATCATGAATTACTATTAGTAGTTTTTGCGTACTTACCTACCTATCGTATACCTTCTTCAAAACAATGTTTCTCAGTAAATAATCTTCTTAATTAAACCTATTTGGATTGTATTGAAGCAGCTGAAATGAATGCTAAACGCTGAAGGAGCTTTGAAAAGTCATCTCGTGCTTAATTACCTGAAGGTACAGCACGTTCATTTTACACAAAAGACATTTAGTGCGCGTAAACAATAAAAATTCGGGATGTGAACGAGATAAGCAAACAAGAAGTACTTGCTATAACATTTTTATTTGCCATTATAATGTTTTCTGCGGCTGAGATTCTGTGGCCGTTAACGACCGAAATTCAAAAATAAAAGTAAATTAGGATAAATAATATCGAAGAGAACGAGGGAAAAAATAATTTTGAAACTTATACCGTCGGGTATAATTTAACGAAAATTTATTGCAAAAATATAATAGCTAATAAATTTCCTTTTTCCTTCTCCGATTTGATTTCGTGCTACTAAAATTACATTAGCCGCCAACGGCACAGAAGCCTCCACCAGAAATTATCGTTAACATCTCGGGGCCGTTTCACAAATACAACGGAATTTATTTCCCGTCATGTCGGTTGACATTAGATAGCCGAGTCCATACGCATCAGCTCAGTTTTTCGAGTTTTATTGAAGCCGCCTACAACACCCCCAACCTCGTCACATACTCTTTTTACAGCCACCTCGTTTTACTACGCTACCTCTGTTCTTAAGCAACAAACTTTATATCCTAACCTAACCCACTTATTTTATGCCCTATTATACTACCTTTAGGTGACCGCCGTTCGCAACATTTTCTCCTAAAAACTCTGCCTTTTAATGTAGCAAAGTATATTTACCCAACCGAATGAGCATAGACCGATATAAACGACGCGAAACGTGGGCGGAATTAGCATAAAATTAACGCTTTGGGCCGGAAGCCAGAACAGGCAGCTCGATTGAAAGGTGGGCACGAATTTACTTCTGCATTCCTCAAATATGTCTTCTTTCCCTTCCATTATGCTCATAGCTGTAAAGGACAACTCAGTAGACGACCGCGGCGTTAATCCACCATTTTATTTACCGGTAAAGAATATCCATACGATTTGTGGCGTCAGCAGAAATTGATCCAACAATAGCTTCTTTCCAACAATCTTGAGACCGGTGCCAATGTACTTTGCGTCCAACCATTTATACCTACAATTATAAAATACAGTAAGATTTGTGATTTTATCTCCGGTTGTAGAAAAGAAGTTTTGTTACCGCGGCGAAAGTTAATTAGTTTCAAGATAAGAAAACACAGGTGCAATTTATCGTTTAATTACGCACTAATTTTGTTAAGGAGGTGGAGGCGGAAGTTGAAAAGAAAGGGGAATTGTTTTAAATAGGACAAGAAGATGTTAAACAAGGCTCGTTGGTTACTGGTTTGGTTGGTTGGACGTTTATTACGCAGCCGCTTATTGTATTGGTGCTTGGCAAATTGGCCGTTATATAAGCGTATTATTGCAAGGCAATCCATCGTGCCAGTTGGAAAGACAGTCAGTCTTGATAATCGTAAAGTGCTTGTTATAGAAGAAAGTTAGTTGAGTGCTACGAGTATTAAGAGATTTAAGTCGTCGTAATAAAAGTGAATGTTTTAAGTAGAATTAAAGAAGTGACGTTTACGCAGAGCCAATATTACATCTGTAATTACAACGAACCTAGTGTCATCTAAATCGAGATTAAAGTGGAAGTAAAGTAAAGAAGTGAAATTCCAGAAGCAATTTCACCTAGTTTTTGTATTAGTGCACCTACTTGTTGAAATTCGCGGGCACGACCTGAGATTGAACACTTTAAGGTAATTAAGATTTCTTTTAATTAATTTGTTTTATCGATCGTTTGTTGCGTGCTATTTGTTTTTTGGCCCTGAGCGCCTATTTTTCTTTCAGGTTATTTGATTGATTTATGTCATATAAAATTGTTTCATCTGTAAATGGTAGTTTTGTGTTTATTTGAGTCCAAATTACGAGTTTGAATGTTAATTTTTTTTATTTTGTGCCCAGAATTACCACAGGTATTAAGTAAAAATTTGTTATTTAATTCTTTGGAATTTTGGAAGCCGTTAAGGTTGCTGAATTTCTCAAATTAATAAAATTTACGTCAATATCGAGATTTTCGTCTACCGGAGGCTGGACGTGCCTTAGAAAAATTATAATTATTTCTTTTAGAGGTTTTGTCAGAACCTGCGCTTTAATCGAGCTAGCTGGCCAGGTGCTTATGGGTGGTTTTAGCGACCGTTTGACATTGCGCATAGCAATATCTTGATTTCGCAAGTGACGTAACACATTATATATAATTTAGGACGTTTTTTAAATTGTGCACGACTCCTGTGAAGATAAAGCGCATTTTTTTAAAGCGTAATAGCTTAGTAAATGGTTGGGTTATAAGGTAGTAGCATGCTATCGATGCTGACTTTATTGGTAGATGATTAATTGGGAGGGAGGCTCCTTACACATACACATTTAAAGGCCGCCTGGCATACATTCAAAATCCTCCGACACAACATTTTGCAGATATTTGCACTGAAAGCTTTGACGTCAACAATAGATATGTCTCGTCCCGTCGATTCATTTTGCCTTTGAGCCTACTTTCCTCCGACAAACCCTTTTCGAGATATTGGCCCGTATGAATAAAAGTAAGCAAATGCTTATACTTGCAAAATTCAAAGTAAATACTCGTAACTGCCCCTTCATACTGGTCTGTTTAGCATGGTTTAGCAACGCTGCACTGCGTCCTGTCCTTCTGCTTAGCAGCGCTGCTAAGTCGCCCAGTGCGAAGGAGCACTTACGAGTATTTACTTTGAATTTTGTAAGTATAAGCATTTGCTTACTTTTATTCATACGTGCCATTAGCTCTTAAAATGTTGATATCACCAATAGATATATTTCTCCTAGATGTCCCAATCGCTTTTTGTGAGTAGTAGGTACTCTCTTCCAACAATCTGTTCTGGAGATATAAGGGAATATATCCGATCACAACAAGGGGTCGAAGAGGACTATGGTTGGTAGGCATTAATTCCTTTCGTTGAGACCTTTCATTAGAGTACCATGAAGGATAAACCCAGTTCGAGTCTCCCCCCTTCCCTTTTTTTGATAAGGGACCAGAAAAAAGGGCGGTAGTCGTTAGAAAACGGTTCCTTTCGTTCAGACCTTTCATCAGAATACCATGAAATATAAAATTAATTTAATTTTTATTTTTTTTAATTTTTAAAAAATGCGCTAAAAATTGTATGACACAAGTCTTAAATTAAAATGTGCACAGTGTGATTATACAACGAACTATACTGTACTCTGAAGGTGAAAGATCACGCATTCCCACCATTCATATTCTATTAATTGCTCCTATTGCTGTGCCACGAAGCCTCCTGCAGACTCTAAGTTAGTATTTTCAAATATTTAAAATGTGCACAGTGTGATTTTGCAACACATCACCACCAGGTCCTGAAACGGCATCTCTTAACTCACAATTTTTAAAAGGATTTAAAAATGTGCACACTGTCATGGCATATGGAAAGGTTAGTCAATTTGAATGTATGTACCTACCCATATATGCGAAGTTCGCCGGGATAGGCGATACAACATTCGTCGGGTCTGCCATTAGCTGTATAAATAAAAATAAACAGGTATCACATGAACACCTGCGCATGCGCGTTTTGCCCAAAAGTTTTTCAGTTCTTCCCTTTAGGTCTAAGAAGATGTGTACTAAATTTGGTTCCAATCGGTTCGGCCGTTTAGCCGGAAATGAGAGTACAGACAGACCGACAGACCGAGATCATTGAGATTTTGTTTAATTCAGATTATTGGTGCTTCAAAACGGGCGTTTCCGTTAAAAAAGTGGGTTGTCATTTTTTACACCATTACTGATGTGTGGATGGTAAAAATGGTTGTTTGTCTATCTGTATTTTATGCCTGTCTAAACCGTTCATCCGATTGCGATGAAACTTTGAGGAATTGTCGGATGTATATGCCTGCAAAACTTTCTCAGTTAATAAAACACTTTCCGAAATTCCCACGGGAACGGAAACACGAAAAATGTTATGTTTTATACCCGAAAAGAAACCGTTAAGGTGTACTACTCCAAAAGAACTTCCCGAAGTTCCCACGGGAACGGAGTACGAGAAAAAGGGATTGTTTTGAGTTTTGAATTTTGAAGCTTGAATTTTTAAACTTCAATCCTGGACCTTGACTTTTCAAGCGTGTATCTTGAAAATGTCCTCCCTTGAATTTGATTTCATTTTAATATCTTAGCAAACCATCTTAGAGTGTTCTCAGATCTTGTTTAATTGTAACACTATTTGCTTGATTCTTGAACCTTGCAAACTGAGTCTGACTCAATATTAGAGTACTATACTTATAAGCTTATATCTTAAAGCTCAAATCATGAAGATTTGTATGTAGATCTAAATAATGCATCAGCATATTGTATTTTGGTCCAACATGTTGGTTTTTATTTTTGAGATTGGATAGGTAAAAGGACGCCATCATATTAAGACGTTGGTGCATAAACGCGTGTGGTGGTGGAAAAAAAGATATAACAATCGGAGTATAGACGACGGGTTGCCCACGGGGAGAGAGAGTCAAGCTTTCAACGCGTGCGGTTGTCGATATTGCGTTTTGAACTTTGTGAGATAAAATAAGTAGGTACGCTGGGGGCGCGTTTTGTTTAGGGCTCGTAATTAAGTTGAAATCGTGTGGTGAAGTAAAAGTGAAGGTACTTATCTGTCATAAGTACCAAATAAACGTGCTAATAATAGTGCTCAAAGTTGCATCATTCTCAAAATGAGACAGGGAAACCAAACTGTGCGCATTAGTAGAAATAGAATCGATACATCAAATTAGATACAATACAGTACAATCTTTTTTTTCCAAAGATAATTTATGAAAGTTGCATAATCAGTATCATATTCAGAATTAGCATTTTTTTGGATTTTGGATCATCAAAAACCACGAACCTTGAAGCCAGAAGATGGAAGATCCAATCTTGAAGCTTAAAACGTGTATCTCCATCCCCTAAAACGCAACCTTACAATTTGAATCTTACACATTGACAGTCCAGAATAAAATCCAAAATTCATGTTTAAATTGCTTCATCTTTGTCTTTTAATGAGACAGAATCATCTACCCTCTGGTGTAACAGGTGGTCGCTTTAGGCTTAGAAAAAATTGGTTTTGAATTTATAAATTTGCAACTATAGGAAATGTTGTACGTGTATCGCTCCATAGCGACAGAGAACGGAACTAAAATGCAGTAGAATGAAGCGCTTTCAGATAAGAAACGAGTGTGTAAGCAGATAAGAGTCAAAACGCCACAGTCTTTCTGGTTGTAAAGATCGTTCTACAGCAGAGCACGAGGGACGGCTTTTCTGCTATACCCTTACATGTATTTAAAAAAAAACGCGGCCTAAACTTGGTTTTCGTTGGGGCCGTTTCGGTCTTTGGGGTCGGAGGAAAAATTGGGTGAGAGAGAAAGATCTTCACCGAACCGTCAAGTCGAATCTATAATGTAAGTTGATCGCGGCGTTTTAGATCCCGTAACATTTATTTTCAACTGATAGTTTTAAGACGAATTCGGATAATCGAAGTATAGGGAAGATTCTAACAGCCGCGGTAATCCAAAGCGCGAAGTTGAGGTTAATTGCCAAATTACAAGGGAAAACTGTACCGCCATTTCGAGGAAATTATTATCGTGTATGGATTTAAATTAATTGCGACTGACTTTTACAAGTAAAACCAATATCAAGTGGCGTGAAGATTTTCGTTTTATTGCACCCTAATGCCATGTATAACCTCATACGCGGTATTAATATAAGCTAATCCGATATGCAAACTTACTCATTTTAGGAACATAGTAGCATTGGTTGATTGAGTTGTCTAACGAACCAATAACTTTGAGCCAGAGACTGCTTTGAGCTTCTTTCAAGGAAACATGACGCTAGACTAAACCAAAGAAGCTTTTTTTATGTCATTGGTTGAGCGCTAACGCTGTTTTATCGAATAGTAAACGAGCACTAATCAATTGAACACTAACAACCACCAACAAGCATGGACGAATTTGCATAGCGAAGGGCGGTCGGGCCGTTTGGTTCGGGCCAACTTCACTGACATAATACTGACGTTTTTAATAACCCACACAAAACTCTCAATTGTGCGGATTGTAATGTAAACTACCACCTCTACATAAAATAATACTTGAATTGTTAGCATACCAAACTGTGAGCAGAGGTCCTTGAATAAATGTGCCGTACAACGTGTACCGTTTAAGGGCTCCGACATCCAAAGCTTCCTTCTTCTCGCTCTAAAAACCATCGTATCGAAACCGTAAACGCAAATTACATCCTACCAACACTTTCCTGGACAAAACCTGTTGCGAAAATTCCGCACCGACGTAAAGTGTTCCGTACACAACGGCATTCGTAAGTATAGGTCTCGTTGTAAACGCACCCTTAAATTGCCGCCACATTTTTAAACGTTTTTATATTACTCTACTATCTAGCGTAGATTATCGTTGAGAAATGATAGGCTTCAATTGACCACTTCCACTACGCTGCCCCCCTTTTGCTGTGATGAGTTTAATCAAACTAAATTAGTGTTTATTTTCATCGGAAAGATAGTAAGGCGTGAATCAGTATTACTATTGTATGTAAATTATGAGAAGTGTCTATAACAACAGTTTGATAAACTGTTTAATGCAATTTTTTTTAATAAAAAAAGAACTAACTTTTGCTTTACTCAGTCCCAATGGAATAGACTTTGCCCACGGATGTAAAAATTTGCGCTGCGATAGCATAGTGATGCTAATGTGTGACCTAAGGTTAGCTGCATCCAGAGACCGGATGTACGTCAGATTCAAATATTTTATTAACCAGATATTTCTACATTAACATAGATTGTTCTGATAAATTTCCATTGGGTTTCATATATGTGGGGCTTTTTCTTCCTTGGGACGCTCCGTATATATTCAATATTAATGATTTTGTTGAAATGGTGAAGAATAATGGTTTAAAAAAGAGAAAGAGTGGAACTAAGTTGTGGAATGCTCCCTCCCCCCGCAATTGGAGTAGGAAGAATGGAGGAAACGGAGCAACAAATTATAATAAAAAAAGAGAAGAAGATACGCGTGTTAAAGACGAGGCAACATAACTCATCCTTTAATATGCTCAATAAAATTCCGTCAAAAAATCTTATGCATGATTACGTACATTTTAGAAAAACTGAGGGCTTATGTCTCTTAAAAGAAATCTTCCAAGCGATTCTAACAACCAATTGAATCTATCGACAGTCATGGAGGATGGTGACAATTGGGTTTGAGTCGGGTCTATCGACCTAATGCACGAACTAAAATGTCAATGCAGTAGTATGTAACGTGAAGTGCGTAGGTTTATATAACCGACCAGAATTGGTACGCTACAAATAATACAAGCAAGTTGGCAACAGAACCAAAAATAAATAAAAATTAACAGGAGAAATTTATTATTGAATAAAACGGAAAGCTATCTGATGACTGGAAAAATAAACAATAAAGTAATATTCTGGTAGGTACCTGGTCGGTAATATACAGGAATAATTAATAATAATCGGTTGTGGAATACACCGGATGTTTTCTTACAAGCTTGAAAAAACAATAAGTGTCACAATCCATTCCAAAAAAGAACTTAAATTAAAGGTAAGTGGGATGCCGAAAAACAATATTTAGAAAAAAAAACAACCAAAAAATAACATTATATAAGAGATATTAACTTAGAGGAAAATATAAAATTACAAATGCAAATAAATTGTCATTACTCAGGAGTTGGAAATAACAGCAGAAATTAATGAATCCGACGAAATCATGGATTTAGGCAACAGCATGGCAAAAAAGGGTACACAAAATAAACGATTAATATAACCCAGCGTAAAATAGGTAACCGAAATAAGCAGTAGTTCTGGAAAAAAATTAAAAAAAACTTATACCGACCCGTGTAGCGCAGTTGAGTTCAAGCTCGACTGCGGTACTAAGAGCCCCTGGTTCGAATCCGGGTTCGGGCATGGATATTTGTAAATGTATAGTGGTTTGGGTTGGTAGAGCAGCCTTGGCTGAAACCCCGCCCACTCAAAAATAAAGGTTAAAAATAAAATAATAATTGGAATATGTGGACCAGTAGGAATTAAAAAAATTGGCGTCAGAAGCTGAAAGATATATGTTGGACATTCTAGGTATACAAGAAACATATGGGTGATTCTTTAGAAATTAAAAAAAACATTGAAGATAGTAGTGATGATCAGTTATTTAATTGCAGTGGTGTATCATCATACATTCAGTATATTGTTTACTTATTTATAATCTACAAATACTGCTTCTGTTTTACCACAAATTACAAATTTACACTAGACAGTCACGTTTCTTACATATTTTAGTGCATCGACTATAAAAATTGTTCAAAATGAAAAAAGTAATAAATGGCACACAACAACTAACGGCGACACTGGTTTAAATGATAGTCATGACAGAAAAAATACTAACGAAATTCAAACCATCAATTTAATAATGAAAAAATACTAGAACTTGACGCGCGAAATTCCAGCGATCATGACTTCTAATGAATCACCCGGTACATTGAGACGGTGAGAAATCGTGGGATTAGAACTAACTAGAATTTCAGAACGATTTTGCGAGGGTCACGTGCGTCGGAGAAGAGTTATGTGTGTCAAGAAATCTCATTGGCCAGAACAAATGAGTTTTATTGGCGGAAAAGGTTGGACGTCACAGGACGGTTGCTGGAATCAGAGACATCCAGCGGGCAGTTCAGAATGTCGCGTCGTAAACCACGTAAAAAAACAGTAAAAAAATGAAGTCGGTCACCGGTAGTTTTATAAAGGGTAGTTCAATAAAGGCGGGTAGATATTGAAATGGAATAATAATAAAACAAGCTGTGTGAGGTATTAACAAAATTCTTTTTTTTATTTGAATGGCCCATGTATGCCATTAAGTGAGGAATATCATATCGTTCAAATACCCGCCTGGGCTTCTTACGGTGGTAAGCTCTCATTTCCAATTTCTTACGCATAGATTCGGCTGATTTTGAGTGATGGCCTGTATTACGTTCATCTTTAGGGCATCAGTTGATTGTGGTTTATTTGCAGAGACCTGCGACACTTCAAGAAACCCCACAAGATAAGGTCTTGCGGAGTCAAATCGCACGGTCGCCAACTCACATCCCCCTCTGAGAGATAACCTCACCCTCAAATCGGTCATGCAGCATGGTAATTGTAGCATCCGCCGTGTGGCGCCGTCATGCTGGAACCACAGGTCGTCCATATGGTTCATTCTGGGTCATAAGACCTTGGTTATTTAGAAAACGTGAGGTTAATGCATGTTTATTAGTTGATTTGAATTACGCGCCAAGTGAGTCCACATCATGGCTGCCCCCATGTAGGTGTCATTTGTCAATTCAACATTAGCAGTCCATCTTAATTTATAAGTTCGTGCTCGGTATTCTTTTGTATAGCTATCTCTCTCACATATGTTGGAGTAGATTTAATGGCTGAACGCTATACAGAGTGGCCCAACGAGAAGTATACAGAGGGCTTTTAGGGTATTAAATTTAGAAATTTCGAAAAATCCTCGAACACGTCAATTTTGTATTCGAGGGGGACAACTTTTGGAATACAAATCACGAACCCAAGTCTTCACCCCTCTACGTAGGGAGCTTAACCCCTAAAATTTTAAATGGAATCCTATGGCAAATGGCACATTATTTGAAAGCCAATTTAATCGTGATTACTAATCTGCTTTGCTTTTTAAATTATATTGATTCGTTTCGGAGATATTCGCATTTAAAATTAAACGGATACAAAACTGTTTTTTACATGGTTTATTAAGCTTTTGGTATACCCGCAAATTTAAAAATAAATTTCAACATTTCTGTTATTAGTAATTGCAATAGCCATGACTTTTGTTGTTTTTATGAATTGCCACTAATAACAGAAATGTTGAAATTTATTTTTAAATTTGCTGGTATACCAAAAGCTTAATAAAACATGTAAAAACAGTTTTGTATGCACTTTTTAATTCTGAATAACTTTAAACTCTACAGTTTTTTCTGTAAAATATAGAGGAGGACAGGATATTGCATAAAACTAATTTCCAATGTTAAATCCTTATGTTCCTACTTAGTGCACCACCCGGTATATGACCCTCGATATGACCTAAGCCCAACCACGATCTGCTTTGGGCAACCGTCTTTGAAAATTCAATCAACCTGTCCTGTCGTATGTTTCATTTCTTAGTTTTCTGTTTCTGACTTTGGCTGGCTGGTTGGTTGCCTGGCCGGCTGGCTGACTGGCTGGATGGCTGGCTGGCTGGCAGCAAATGTGGGAGCGTATAAGAACTCTTGTAGAAAGGCAACGGGTGTACGTGTATCTACAAGGTCGTGTAATTTTATCTTTTTATTTTGCAACTGTTTACTACGTTAATATAAAGAAGATTGCAGGAATAAATACCTAAATAAATAACACGGTAATTTTAAGAGGTTGACATGGCGCAATTATATCTTTATTTTGCAACTGTTTACTACACTACGCTAATATAAAGTAAATAAAAGTGGAAAACACGGTACCACGACAGCAGAACTAGGAGCGTCGAGCATCATGAAGTTTTCACTTATCGTGAGTTAGATCTTTTTAGCGCATTTTTGCAAATTTATTTGTAAAAAGTAGCTTTTAATCTGACTTTGGCTGGCTGGTTGGTTGCCTGGCCGGCTGGCTGACTGGCTGGATGGCTGGCTGGCTGGCAGCAAATGTGGGAGCGTATAAGAACTCTTGTAGAAAGGCAACGGGTGTACGTGTATCTACAAGGTCGTGTAAGTATTGGAGACTTTTTACTTTCCATAAGCACGCCACTGATCTGACAAAATCTGTGACTTTTTTTGTTGTGGCTATCCTGCGATAGGTACCTACCTACAAACGTAATTATGGTTTACTTTTTCGGGCTGATAAGTGGCGTATTGCTTATTTTTAATTTTCATAAAATGACCGGTAAATTCAGTGAAAAAGAAACTTTTAAGCTTGTTGAACTATACAGAGAGTAGGAATGCTTATGGAATATCCGATGCGATACATATAAAAACGAAGAAACGCGTGCATCGGCTCTACAACAAATTCAGAATTGGTTATTGAAGGCCTAACCCGTAAATTCGAGAATTGGGTGGCCAGTGAGACTGGCCAGCTACTGGATGCGTTTAAGTGCGCCTGAAGTAATTGGATAATAAACGAAAGATATTTGACAGAGGTCACCAAAACAAAATGGTCTCCGAGGGCCGCCAAAATCTACCCACACCAATTGAAAAACTTTATATTGTGCCAACATTCGCATGAAGCCGCGAACGAGCATAAATCAACCACCAGTAATTTATTACAGGGTGGATTTGATTGTGCGTTATTTGAATTCGAGTGGTACCAGCGAAATTAAGTTGGCCACTTGTAAATATTACTTGCGGCGAAGTTGAGTGCGCTTGCATTAGAAAAGTACGGTTAAATCAAACGCGAAAAAAAT